CTTGACGCTAGGAGAAGAGAGAACAAGATTCAGAGTAAACATACACGTGGACCTCAGTAAGAATTATGAACAAGTGCAGGCAAATTTTCTACAGTTCACCAGTAAATTTCGAGTCTTGTGCGGCTCTACACAAGCTCGGAACGATTTTGACACACCTTATCGACACGGGAAAAAACAAGACACTAGGAAACCTGAACGCACTTCGGCTCAGCGAGTGGACGTTATTCAAGTGGAAATTGAAATCTGTTTTTAATCCAACCAACTTAATTTTGTAGACCTAGAATCGCCCTCGGGAGATGCATGGGAAGGACTACTAAGACATGGACGACGCAGGCCTCCATCACCGTACTTCAGCCATCATTTTTTCTGAAGAGGCGCAGTTATTAGTGCCACTGGCTCTGGAACCCATCGTGCCAACATTATGCAAGCGGACAGATGAATCGCCTAAGTACTTTTTTTTGCTACGATTCCGGTCCATTGTAGTTTCGAACGATAGTGTTCTTGCAGCCACCCCGTCTTCGCTTGACATGTTGTTTCTTCCGTTTTTTCATTGCAGCCGCCGGTGCTCTTGCACTGTAGCCATTGTTGTGTTCTTGTTTGGTTACAGTCCATAGGATCTTCAGTTTCGTTGTTTTCTCAGGCTTCAAACCTACTCAATTTTGTCATTGGCTCAGACTTATTTTTGCTGCTTTTGTACGGTAGCTCATGTATTTAATATAATTGTTTTGATCTCATATTGTTCTTTGGGGCGTAGTCCGGAATGTTATGAGCTGACGGTAACCCCCTCCCCCCCTCCCCCTCCACCAGGGCCTCTCCCCGCCCTCCCGTTTTGGTGTTGCGAAATACAAAACATAGGTTTTGCTAGCATATCGGAAGCAAGAGTAGGATATTTCGAAGCTTTCGATAGAACTTTTGAGAAGGACGAGTAATGACATTAACATAATTAGAAGGTCGGAAAGAAATGTCTGCAAAGAGTTAGCAGCCGCTAAAAGATATGTTACCACCCTGAATTAAACTATTTCTATCAGCACACACTAAAAAGCTGAAGCTAACAAACTGGCTTTGACAAGCAACGTAATAACAAATTGAAATGAATGTGAAAAACAAATGGATTGTCACTATTCTGAGTTTTAACGGGAATTACGAGAAATGGTGGGAGTGCAGTGCTTTCGCAATGCCTTCACGATTTCAAATGCAACAAACTCCGTTGATTAGAGTCGTAACTATTCATGCTCAATCTTAAAGGGCGGAAACAGAATGTGAAGCACAGAAAAAATAGGAAAGCAGCAAAAGAAACTTTTAGCATTCTTTCCCAAGATGCATACTGTTGCTGATTCGAGCATCTAGAAGGTGAGATAAAACAAGAAACCAACCACCAGCAACGTCCTCCCTGAATTCACGAGAAGTCAATGTGATACGACACTTAAGTGGTACACAGCTCTGTTGTAATGTCATTGATGCTGTAGATTCCTCAACTGTGATATTCAGAGATGATCCTTCGGGGCTCTTGATAAAAAAAAAACTTAATACCATTTTTTAGAAATGCGAGGTAAAAAGACAAAAACATGGATGAACCTCGTAGTATTTGGGTATCAATGTCGCAACCTCTTTCAACAGTGACAATCCGGGTATATGAGAACACAGCACTACTAGATGCACCTGGTGTCGAGATACTACACGTCTGATACAATAAGATTTTTTTCTTTTAAAAAACTTACCTCGGTGTCATCCTTGAGGAGTAGTCCCTTTGAAAGCATTCCCACACGCATAACTCCCTTCAAAAGACGATCTTTTTCTTGTGGTGTTGCTGCTTCCTTCGTTCCTTCCCCAGTGGCTGCAGGCTTGACTTGAGGCTTCGTTTCCAGATGATCGCTAGAGAGGTCGATATAATATAATCAAGAAAACCCTAGAAAGCTCACTGAAGAAGTCTGCAACTTACCGCTCATTGAAGAAGTCTGAAACCTTTTTAAGAGCCTTTTCTGTTTCTGTGACAAGCCGCTCTATTACCGTGAGCTGCTCATCATCGGGATATATAGAGGTGTGCTTAGCCTAAATATGAAAATTTAACATGATCAGATATCCAAATTATTAGAACTATCAGTTTGTAATAAACACCTGAACATGGCGATCATCTGTGGTTTCAAATCTTCTGCCATCAATTGGTCCATTACCAAACCATGGACCGCGTATGCCAGGTACTGCTGGACCAAATGGACCACGTGGCACAGCCAATCTAAATACACCATACTGCCATAAGG